AAAATTATGTATGCAACAGAGACAGTGTCAGTGTTAGGTCTTAACTCCATTGCATCGTATTAATAAAAAAAAAACGTTTATTTGGAGTCTTATTAGCATTTATCAAATAGCCGAAACTTTGTATTCAGAGAAATAGAGTAGGACTTCAGATGTCTTATAGATTTTTCATAGCACAAGTATCTAAATAAAAAAATATATGGCATCATCAACAGTTTTTTCTTTCTAGCACATCGACAATCATACTCGTACCTTAGGCGGGAAATATAATTATTGATATGACCACGACCTAGATTTCCTCTTAGTTCTTCTGAAGGGGTAAATTATCTAATACGACAACAAGGAAATGGGTGGATAGTTGACTTCCGTAATTGAATGGTTTGCGTGCCGTTTCATTGTTTTAACAACTTCGATGTGCAATGACAACCAACACAACGTATTTTTTTTTTCAATTCTTTTAATACTTCATTCGTTTGTTAGTTGAGTGTTTAAGTTTTATTTTCCTATTCATTTATGTTGTATTTATACATCATAGTTACCATTAATTAACAGAATTTTCGATTAACTATGTACTAATAAATTACGTTGAACAATGATTAATTAAGCTACTGCAATGCAAACTGTGAAAATGGTGCTTATTTTGTGATTTATCATATGTAATGTATATAAAATACGTAACTAAAATATATAAAATAAAATTAAGTACAGGTATGTATTTTTATTGAAAGAAAATCATTACTACTTTTTTAGCAATTTCGAAAACGATTTTTTTTTTGTTTCTACTTCATAGTTGTGAATATTTTTATTATAATTTAATTTTATAAGAACGTCATTTTATTAGATAAATTAAATATGTGACGCGCGACAGTAATTAATATCATTACGTAGAATATACCGGTTCTCCGCTTCTTATGTTAATTTTTAAATGTTAGAGGTTGTCAGGGCATATAAGATGTAATAATTTAATCATGATTTTTGAGACTGAGTACTATAAAATGTTTGCATTTAGCGTCGGGATAGATTTACCAATATCATTGTTTACCAATTGTGCCATTTCAGATTGGTAAGTATAAGTTTTACGTTAGGCGTTCACTGGTGAGCGCTTTAAGAATTTGTATGACGATTTGTAGTTCTTGATAGTCACCACTAGGGTCACTGTACCAGATTTCATACTGTCAATCTTAACGCGCTCGTGATGGACGTTGAAAGTAAACGTCAAAAAAACTACTTTAAAAGGAGTTAAAGGTTTTATTTTAGTAAAGCTCAAAATATATTTAAAAAACCATCTGCACCATCTTATTTATTATTCTTAGCTGTTATATCGAGAGCAACATTTCTATCAGTTCTAGGATCAAGTTTTCGACCAAATAGGGCTGTCAAACATTAACGTCCGTTAGAAACAATAAAAAAAATTGTATGAAGAATCATTGCACAAAGCCAGTAGAAAAAAAAATCGAAAATTGTTAGAGAATACGGAAGACATCTTTGAAATCCTCATCTTTTTATATAGATGTTAGCTGCTAATAAACGATAAATCTACAAGAATAGAAAAATTAAAATTAGCCTGCACACTAAGAATTACACACCATTACATTCTGTCATTAATCGGTGTTCAAAGAGCCTCGGGTCGACATAATACTGCAGTAGACTGGTAAGCTATTTTTTTGCTAGCTAGCATTTTTATTCAGCAGGTGGCCACGCGACCGTGCCTTACTTAACCGAAACTTATTCGTTAATAAACACATTATTAATGTCCTCATCGCGGGGACCCAAGCCGTCCTTATCAATGGAAATAGGCAGAATGGGCCGCGCTGATCCATTGCGGATTGGTCGCCCATCCTATGCCTTTGCAAAAGTTGCTTAACGTCCGCAAAAGCAATATTTGAACTGGTATTCAAAAGAAGTCTTATTTTATTTAAGAGTGATTGGATTGGATTTTGATTTTTATCAATTAAACTTTACTAATTTTAATAATAAGTAAGTTTTAATAAAATAATATCGATTTGACTATACTTGGCAAAAGACCACGAAGTTTGTTGAATCAAGTCAAATCAAAGATCAATATTTACTTAGAACCTAACAAGTAAAATAAATATTGATTTACAATGAACCGAGCCTTGAGGGAGATTTGAATGCAAGGTTTTTACATGACCATTTCCGGTTGGTTTATTTCTAACATATTTAATTAAAACTGATAACTTAATTTTTTTTAATGTATCTGTGCATTTATTACTCGCGTAGTAAGTCTGCAATCATTGTTGCTAAGAAATCGCAAAAGTTTGTCATGAAATGGGTGACCAAAAATTTTTTATCTCAAGCTACTCTGTGATTCACGTTCGCAAGGCACGTGAGTCCCGGCTGCATAGTGCATTTTCAGTCTTTAATCCGAATTGGACCAGCAAAGAGGGTCATGGCCCATCTTCCTAAACCATCCATACGTAGCCCCCAGCCCTCGTATTAAATTTGTTCTTCGTTCATATTATAACTTTCGTACAAATAGAAAAAAGATTACGTATTGAGAACTCTTTTGGAATTAGAAAGTTGTTATCTAGAAAAGGAAGAAATGTCGCCCTAAAAGACAATTGAGATTTGATATAACAAATTGTATGTCATCCAAAGATGACCTAAGGTTTTTTCGCATTTATATTGTTAACTAGCTTTTGCCCGCGACTTCGTCCGCGTGGTAAAGTTACTTTCAGCAGCATTTCTAATGAATATTTATTAATTATATCATGTAAAATAACTGAAGTAAAGTTTCATCCCCTATTTTATCCCCTTATGGGTGGAATTTATCAAAATCCTTTCTTAGGGGATGCCTACGTCATAGTAGTTTTATGCAAAGTCTCAGCCCGATCGGTTTATAAATTGACAAAGTTTCATGCAACTTTCATCCCCTATTTTATCCCCTTGGGGGTAGAACTGATCAAAATCCTTTTTTAGAGATTGCCTACGTCATAGTAGCTTCATGCATGCAAAGTCTCAGTTTAAACTTGACAAAGTTTCATACAAACTTTTATCCCCTATTTTATTACCTTGAGGGTAGAATTGTTCAAAATTCTTTCATAGCGGATGCCTACGACATTACATCTACCTGCATGCCATATTTCAGCCCGATCCGTCTAGTGATTTGGGCTGTGCGTTGATAGATCACCATGTCAGTCAGTCACCTTCGAGTTATATATATTTAGATATTAATAAACGATTTGTAAAAAACTTTATATTTAACAAGTCATTTTATAAACCAAAGTTATTCTGCGGAACTGAATAATGAATTATTTGCATATATGTATTTTTTTAAATGGTTAATTATTTATTTATTCCATTGAACATGTATCTATTTTAAGTGATATATAAGTACTATTTATATATTAATGATATGTGAGTAATGCACACACATAAACAGAGGGTAATGTGTTTATCAGTCTATGTATGTAGGTATGTATGTTTGTTTCTATGTGGCGTCCTAGAGACCAAATACGTAGGCCGATTTTGATGATTCTTACGTCAATCGATTCATTTTAACCTTGCGAGTGTCACTAAAGACATGACAGTAATCAAAATTCACCACAGCGACAATCAGTTGCCATATTGTCAAAATTAAAAAGAAAATCGATGAACTATGTCAAGGATACCCCCGTGACATAGTCAATAATAGTTTAGGGTATAAAACGATTTAAAGTTAAACAACTTTCATTCTCGCTAATTTTCTTACTTATTGATTTAAGTTTTTATTTAAAGTATAGATGATATACAAACAAAAAAACCTTCCCCTTAGGAAGATTTCATTGGTAAAATTTGAATGTTTTATGTGTGTATCGATTATAAAACTATTTCAATTGTGTAGTTATTTGGTATTACTTTCTTAACAGAATAATAAACTACTGGGCTTGTTTCTTTCTTTTAAGTTTTTATTAAGGTTATTTTTTTCATATATTTTTTAAAATTCCTTTTTATTCAGTCGGGTTTTTTGTTTTTCTATTTAATTTCGTCAATGGATAGAATATAAATTTTCGAAAATAACGTTTCTAATTCAATAATTAACTTGGTTATAATGAGCCATTAAGATAATCAACAATAATTATTACCAAAATTCAGCCCTTTTACGTACAGCAGCTTTTACCAATGCAGGGGCTCAGACCTTCCTTATGGAAAGTTAAAGAGGATGGGTCATGACCCTACATGCTGGCCACTACGCCGCCGAGCTACTAAATTGACAATGGGAGAAAAGTAAAACGTCAAATTGAGATGTGTTGAGTTGTTCTTGTCAGATAATGGTTAAAACCTGGTACTAAAGTGACTCCCCGTTTTGTAATGAGACGGTTTGGGTTAATGACAAGGACCATTATTAGTAACTTATTTTGTTGTATAAAGAAAGTAAATAAAATTTACATACGAGCTCATGTTAAATTTATTTACATTGTATTCTAATTAACAATTGTATATGCTGATTAGATAAAGAATAATTACTTCTAACCTTAGTTTAACGATGACAATTCGTTTTGAATTATTTAAAGAAAAAAAAATCAGTGAAAGCAAGGATCAGCGTAAATCTTACGAAACAGTACACATCATAATTCTGCCGAGTTTGCACACACGAGGTTGATTGATATATAATACATATATTTGAAAGATCTGATGCGCCTAGACCAAGATAATGCAGCGGATCTTTATTCAAATATTCACTGACGAAATAATAGTAACTGTTTTCCTGCGACTTCACCCGCATTAATTATAGTCTATGACACCTGCATATGATGTTGCTTTCCGCAGGTGAAAGAATTCTTTAAATCAGTCCAGTAGTTTAGGAGCCTATTCAATGCAAACAGGCAAACAGTAAAATAATTCTTCTTTATAATATTAATATAGATGAAACGTATATATTGTTGTAGTTGTACAAACGTCTATTATGTAATGTTCAATGAGGAATTTAAGTTCTAATGAACGTTATAAGTTTGAAAATTTGTATCGGTAATGTCACTTGAAACTAATGACATTTATAACGGATGTTTATACAACGCGTAGATAGTGTACCTAAAGTCAAATTAGACGACCGCACTTGTATGTTGAAAATCAGACATTCATAGACTAGTTATTAACTAGAAATATAAATATTAACAATATTCTAAAAAAAAACAGGCTCCAACTCGACGTCAAGCACAGCGGAGCTAGAGCTTAAAAAAATATTTAATACATTTTCAAGTAGGTATTAATTGATTCAATCTATACACGGTCTTACAAAGTCGAGTTCGAGACTATTTTTATAGCAAAATAGCAATACAGTCCAGAGATTAGACACTTACTCTTCAAATCGATATTGGATATACCTACCTATGGTTAACTATTTTGGCTACATACTTTAACTACAATATATAATTTAGACTGAAAAAGATGATGACTGACAATTTTATGAAACTAAGGAGTATGTTATGATATAAAAATAAAAATGTTACATTACAAAAAGTTTATAAATCATTGTCTTTTTTTTCTTTTCAGCCATGACGTTTGACGTGCAGACGACCAAGGAGATCCCAACTACGAAGGAAGGAGGTGACATAACCTACATGGATATGATAGAGGAGAAAGATAGTCTCGGCGAGTCACAGATACAAAAAATGTTTGCGGGTTCTTCAGTGTTCCTAACCGGGGCTACAGGGTTTTTGGGCAAGTTGATTGTCGAGAAATTGCTGAGGTAAATCAAACTTTTAAAATAAGAACTTCTTCACTATTTCTTATCCGTTTGTACAAATGATTTTAATAAAAAATGAAAATCGGTTTGTGGTCCTATTAGCTGGTAGGTAATTGATTACGTATTCCTACATCTTCTCAGATACAAAAATTTTTGTTTTTTGACCTCATTTAACACATCCAAAAAACAGAAACTGATAAATTATTTTAATTTGGTAGATTGATGTAATAAATTGATGAAAATTTTAAAGCTGATTTATTCCAAAATTATTGTACCAATGAAGTTCAACTTTGGTACACATAATTTTTTTTCTTTTTTATAGTATATAAATATAATAAGAATATATTATATTCTTTAACTACTGATTAGTGATTACAGATAGACTTAAATTTTTTTTTAATATTTAATCGATACCCTCTTGATCGTCTCGCATGTAGCCAGATTTAAAAAAAGGAGATTATTAATTAGAGGTTTATAGTATGTATGTCATTTTAGTGGAAAGGCGTAATATTAATTTAAGTTGATCTGTATAGGCTTCTAAACTAAATTTTATAGGTTTTATAGGTTACGGATTGCAATGATCACAATTTTGCCAACATTACTAATAATGACACATCTGCCACACACGTTGTGTAATTGGTGAGGACACTGATTTCGCAAGCGACATTGTTCTAAAGATGATTTTATATTTTACTGCATATTTTATTAATACTTGTCTGAACAAAACTGTTCACACGGTCATAAAAACTATATATGAACATATAAAGCATTGTTTTTGTTATTTATTATTCAAAGCAAAATCGAGGAAAACGTTCAGAATTACATTAAAGTATGTAACGACGATTACTTTAACTTTTATTATTAGAAAACTGTAGGTATTCAGAAAACGTTTACTACCTCTGTGGCCTCGAGGTTCGCGCGTCGGTATAAGGTTCAATGTTGAAAATTATCTTTCCTGTATTTTCTCAGTTTTGGATGAAGTGGTACCGGTCGTTTGGTAAATAAACACTCGAGAAATTAGTAAGAAATCGAATAGCTTATACACGACTATATTTCTACGATTTTTAGTTTAAAAATACGGTGTTTTTTTGTTATCGTGTCTTCTTGTTTCTGTCACCTCTCACGTAGAATTACTTGCTCGAGATTTTCTTGACTTTTAAGTGTTCTAAAGTACATTCCACCACCGTAATGTCACATTGTTAAGCATGGTGACAGAATTGAAAATGTTTTAACTTTTGTGACAAAGGTCACATTGACAAAGGAGGCTAAAAGAAGTCACGGTACACACAGCTGCGCCTCAGCTGTAAAGGAGGCTACAAGAAGTCACGGTACACACGGCTGCGCCTAAGCTGTAAAGCAATATATCAAATTTCTGCAATTGATTTTAAACCCTAGCTACAATGTTTTAAGGTTTAAAATCAAGTGGAGATATATGACAGTTTTATATAACCCGATATGCTTCTGACTGTATAAAAAGTCACCGCGGCAAGAAGTCGTATATATTTTTTTACTAGAATTGTTTTAAAATATCACTATTGATAGTACGTGATTGTTGTTTAGGTGTTATCAATATAAAAATATGAATCATGATAATAATAAGACATACAAACATATACAAAAGATTTAGTTAAAAGTAAACAAGACATGTCGAAACGACACTATCAGAGGTAGAAAAAAAAACCAAAAGCAAATAGGATTTTTTCTTTAACTCAAACATTAAATCATCGTAATGTGTTTTCCTTGACTCTGTTGACAGTACACCACATTAACACCCAGACACAGCTTGTTTACAAGGTTGCTGCGTTGCTTCGTACGATGTTAAACTTCCAATGAGTTCGGACTAATTTAAATTACTTGCAGCCAAGGATATTGTGTGTATGGTAAACGTTAAAGCTAAACTGGGCTTGCAATTGGATTGGTGACTGTAAATTAATTACATCTTTTTTATTATTAGGTTACACCCAAAATCAATATTTCACGGGAATCATGTTAACTTAAGAAGGGGCGTTAAGCCAAAAGATTGTTCCTTTCTATCTTTTTACTACAATCATCATCAGTCCTTTAAGGTCCCCACTGGCCTTCCTGCAGGATGGTTAAGGAAAATGGCCATGACCCTCCACGCTTATTGGAGGGTATTACGACTGCAAATGCAGTGCGGACAAACGGCTTAACGTGCCTTCCGAAGCACGGAGTTAGTAGCTCTGTGGCGTAGTGGATAAGCGCCGCGGCCCGCGATCGTTGTCGTTAAGCAACTTTCGCAAGGGTCGGTCACGGGATGGGAGATGCAGCAACGAGGATGGTAAATTTTGCGGCGTAACGGTTTTAATTAATTGCTCGTAAATTTAATAGTTTACAATATTCCTTGGAACAAATGGAATAATAGTGCAATGTTTTGTTTACTAGTAACGTAGATTGGTGTAGTCTTATCATTTTAATTACGGCTTATTTGGTTTTTATTTATTTGTACAAAGCCAGTTGAAAGTTAGTCCTTCTTGTTCTTGAACCTCTTCTCTTAGAAGAATTCTCCATTTTTCTTTTCTGCGCTGCGAATGCAGTCAGTCATAGGAAACTTTAACGTAAATTGCGTCACTCATTTTATTAGGTCTGGCTGTCCATCGAGTAGGCGATTGATCTCTTCATATTTTTATCATTTTTGCCTTTAACTTTACTCTAAAGAATCTACTTGTCTATCCAGTTACTCTTCCTGGTTAAATGACAAAACTATTTCAATCATTCTTTTTAATTTTTGCTATCTATCCTTATTTTTTTCGTAGGTATTCATTGTGTTAATTAACCGTCATCTGTAGTATGATTCTGTGATAAAACAGCAAATTTAACGCTAAGGACATCGTATAGTATAGGGATGCAATCAAATAGAACTAACTTCAAGAGGTAATAAAGGTTTTATTTCATTGAAACTCTATGCTTTGATAGTATCTACTGCGTTCGACGACAAACTCGAGGCTGTTTTGAACAGAATAGCACAGTTCAAGTATTAAGCCAATGTTATCGAATAACAAAATGCCCATCTAACTCCTAACTAGGCTATTGAACTTGTGACATCAGCTGGATTCCACATTAGAATCGATGTTTGAACAAACTGAAGATACATAAACAGTTTATCTTCATTCGGAATAATTACTACATACCTCATTTGAAGCGTCATTACGCGCGATGAGAAGATCAGATGTAAGATATTAAGCGATCTTAATTAATCGTGTTTTGTTATTGAATTTCAAATTTAAATGCTCAATTCAAATTTATTTTGATCTTTTTATTAGTATAATAAATGACATGAATTATAATCCTACATTATTTTCAACACTATTTTCTAATGCAATAGAAATGCTTACGGATGCTGGTCATTATTTACAATTTCTTAAGACTAAAATATTCATGAAAATTTCTTTGATACACAAATGGCGAGTGTAGCTATCGTAGCATTCTCTAATGCTTTCAAAAAATATATCACTTTTAAAAATTAACCAACTTCAAGAACCTCTCTTGAAAAGCCATGATTTTGCACTTTTGCACATATAGATCAGGGCAATCGATAAATCATAACGAGTCGTTTACAGCAGCAGAGCATTGGAAACTCGTTCATAAATCTACAAATGAATCATTTGTACTGGAGAAGAAGTTGTTACAGTTATATCTAACCAAGTATGGTTTATTAAAGCTAGGTACTCTTAAGTTATTGCAAATTAAAGGTAAAGCTAAAAGGGTTCTACATCTATTATCACGGATCTATGAAATAAATCCGTGATAATAGATGTAGAACCCTTGAACGGAGTATGAAATAAAACTGAAGTCATTGAATATTTAAAAAAGCTTGTATATGTGGAATGCGAACAAAAAGAACAGTACCCGTGATATAAGTTTCTTGATTTGTACCGTTACACATTGACATAATAAAAGTTCGGATGTCTGAAATGCAAACAAAGGGAATGGTATCGCTAATTAAGGTAGAGCCACTAATGCTAAAGTAAATGGAAATAAAACCGCCAATTAGAATACAGATAAGAAGAAAAAGGAGAATCCATTAAAAATCAAGCAAAATAAAAGCCCTTAACAATCAGTAAATTCAGTTTTTAGAATTGGAGTGATAAATCAAGTATTTACTTATATAAAAAAACAGGCACACAATAAGCTACATTCTGCTTTGTATAACTTTGTTTGTCAAACATAGCTTAAACCATTCATCGCGCTGATGACATTTTGCTACAATATATTACTTGAACTTTATTTTTAAGTCGACTTTTTGTAAAAAAGATATTAACTTAATAAAAGTTTGTTATATCCAAAACTACTTAGTACCAGAGTTTGCTATACATCTATCTTAGAAAACCCTTGAGCGCAATTTGTTGCTCCAACACAATAACATACAGTGGTTGGTTACACTGCAAATATTGATATGGTCAACGTAAACAGAAAAAGCAAACATAGCTCTTGAAAATAAGGTTCTAGTATACGTGACATTCAGATATACATACGCGAACTATCAGCCCTAATAATATCACTATAAAGGTCATAATAGTCTACGGTTAATTTGCGTACAGTTGTTATTCAAAGCACGGTACTCGAGACAATGATACGCATCCATTTGATCTGGAAAGTACGCGCCAAATACAGCGGTTCTTGAGCACTGAGCTGAATGCGGAAAAACAATCTTGATTGCAGAGTAACATTTGTTTCGTTTTCTTTTAAAATTCATGATTCCTTTATGTGGACGCTCACAATACGGTTGGTTCACCAGTTCAAAATCATTCAGAAACCTATGAAACGTGATATGCTCGGAATTTGTCAAAATGATAAAATTCGCAATAAAGTTTTCCGACAGAGAATTGAACTCCTCGACATAGCACAGACACAGGATAAGCAAACTGAAGTGGCAGTGGATTCGTGATATCTGTCAAGGAACTGATACCCGGTGGATTAAGCAAATTCCAGATTAGAGACTGCGAGTCGGCGAGCAAGTGGAGTGATGATTTGACTAAGTTGGCGGACAGAAGTTTATGATAATGATTATTGTGAAATTATTTTTAGATATCGCTTGTGTCTTTACTATAAAGCATAATTCCTTTGTCCCATGTTGATAGTATTTAAACTACTTAGTATTCATCTGTAACATGTTACACATATTTATAGTTTCCATGTCATGAATGTATATTGTATGTTTAGTATGATATATGCCTTAGGATCATAGCTATTGCCAATCATGTGTTGCGATCGTGTTTCAACTCAGAATATTAATGAGGATGACACTCACAAGACTGGTTTCAATTTGACAAACGTTCTCTTTAGAAGTCATTAACATACATTAATACTCATCTGGATAATAGTAAAAACTAACACTATCAGATCAAGATCACGTGCTTATGGTTCATAGAAAATAATAGGTAATCCTAAATTCGAGCGGTATGCTTTTCCTTTAATATTGAAATGGTGATCGCTATAGCCAATAGATTTTCTTCAAGTAATTAAATTTTACGGGCTTACGTCGTCGTTTCGGTACTCCAATACAATATTTATTACTAGCCGAAAGATTCACATAGACTGTTATTGGAAACTGTCCCAAAAACAAAATTATTCTTAATGAATTGTACACCTATGTGTCAAAATAATTCCAATGAAATACCTTTCCAATTTAAAGATCTCCCTATTAAGCAATTTAAATCATTGTTACGTCAATGGCTGTTCAACCGTACCTTTTATACGTTGTGTTTTTTAATCAGAAAGAATAGCATAGTAGTGGTCGATGCAGAGTTTCATATTGTTATTAATTATTTAAAATAGAAATTGTTTTAAAATTTTGTAGAACTGACATTTGCATGCTATTGATATATGTATAAGAACTAAATAGGTCTAAGTACATTTTTGAAGACAACCATCCACTTCATTGCAATCGACCCTATTTATAGCAAATACATAATAATCATTATTATTATAGCCAGTTTATCATCTATGTTCCGAACAAATACATATTACTAGGCTGTTGCGCAATGAAAGCAACCGATTTATTTAATATTTTTCAAACCTCTAAAATACTAATTAAATTGTTTTATTTTAACTTTACACATAAAAAAAAACAATTTAAAGTTTGTTATAACTTATTCTTGATATGTCGTAATAGGCATGCGATACACGCAAGCGTCATGATGTGACATTGGTTCGTGTACAGACTAGAGACTGCGTATTAAAACTTAATTCGTCTAATAGAAATAGATCAGTGTGTTAACATATTCTGATTTATTGCTTCTGAATTTCTTATCAAAGTCGGCCCCGTACTACTATGATTAACAGTGTGGTGTTTTTGAGATTAAAAGTGTTTCTTTTAAATCCCTAAACGTAAGTAGGAATAAGGTAAGGTGTGCGATTTTCTAATGCGTTGATAGATTACCTACCGGTGTATCTACCGTGTGACATCCTTGATATGAATTTCAGACTGATTCTGACATATAAAGCTCTTTTTAGATTAGCCTATTGCGTAACTAATGCAACTTATATGTCAAGCGAAATATCTAGTATAACTATAATTCTAGGCGGATACAAAGAATCTACAATTTTAACGTTAGTTAGAACTAAAACTTATTTCAATATACTCGTATGAACCTCAATCAGTTACTCGGAGTTTAAGCGCCAATATAAACCATAACAAAAAAGCTCGAATCTTGGACACTACTGATGTATGGAATTGTACACATCCAAAATCACTAACATCCAACTGGTTTTATGCCATAATTCAAAAAGAAAAATTATTTTCCATATTTGTGACGCATTTGTTACTAAAAGACGAAAATAAATCTCTAGTTATAAAAAAAAATCACAAAGTATCACAAAGTAATCACAACCCTACATTTATGATTCCCATTCAAAACTGTTTTTAAATATAATTACTGTTTTTCTTTTACTATGACTTAACTTTCCCTGTATATTATGCAGAAGGCTCAAATGCTAGGTCAATATGAAGGCAAGAATAATATTAACGGAATCCAAAAACACTTTTTAATATATTATCTCGGGTTTGGATGTTGTGGTAGAGGAAAACGACCAAATATTTCATATAATCCCCAATAAGATATATTGAAATTCCTTTTTAAATTTATTCGTAATAGGGGGGAAATTGTATCTTATCGATATACCGAAGAAATTTGCAATCGATTAACAGATTCTCTTAGCTCAGCGTTATGATGGACAAGTTAGTCGTCTATAGTAATTATCTATTGAAAAGATTCACAATGGGCGATGGAAGAATTTTATAGTAGGTTCAACTTTTAGGTACATTTAGGGAAAAAAGAGCTCGATGGCGCAGCAGTAAATGCGTTCAGAAGTTTAACAATTACCGCATAGGCCGGTCATAAGATGGGTGACCACAACTACATCTAATCGGTATGCTACTCCATTGGTGCCGGTAGCGTCTGTTGTTATTTACACCTTCTAATCCGCACTGACACCGTATCATCCAAAGAAAAGAACTTTGTCTCAGCAGTGAGGATGTAATATGATAGTGATTTAGAAAAAATAATGTACAGCATACTTAGTTTAAAATAAATAAAGTTATTCCTTCGGCGAAATCATGACGTGTCAATGAAACGGTAAACGACAAAAAATACAGTGTGATAGTGGTGAAGATAGTGGCTGTTGTTGCATATGAATTATGTCTGAATCGTGCAATATATGAGGAAAATCCGTTTGATTTTTGTTTTGTTCCGTATCTTAAAATCTACCTAAGTCCACTACCTTTTATTATTTAAATATACAAAAGATGCATGTTCTTATAAGCCATAGAATACGGTGAATGAAGATTGTATATCGCTCAGATACTAAGATTATGCAATGAAAAAAGAAAACTTTTAGACATTGTCAAAAAAAAATAGCTTATAACTATTAGTAATAAGCTTATAATAAAAGTAACTCATAGTATATAAGCATTTGACGCATTGTATGTTTGTTTTACGCATTAATGACTGATAATCGTTCTTTACTAGCTTAGTTTTTTCTTCTTCGTCAAACTTTCGTCTCCTATTTCAATCCTATAAAGGAGCTTTATTTTTTACTCGAGAACTGTATGTAGATTCAAATAGTATTACATATGAATGAATACTTTATTGTACACCATAATATATAATAGTACAATTGATACAATTTAGTGGTACAAGCGGCAGCGTTATCGCTAAAAAGCAATACATAATATAAATAATTATAAAGACATTCATATTATATTTCTGATTGTCCACAGATCATGTCCGGAAATCAAAAAGCTTTATTTACTGGTGAGACCAAAGAAGAACAAAGATACCACGAAGAGAATACAAGAGCAATTCGAAGATGTTGTAAGTATTTTTAATATATTTGCTTAATAAACTGGTTCATGCTCCCCTAAAACGTGATCCACACAGTTGCAAACCAGCGATCTAACAAAGGTGACTTTGCTTGTTGCAAATCATCAAACGGCGGTGTAAACCAACCTAGATGTTGAATTAATTACAATCGTTAAAAACACTCTTTGACAAAAATACGTGAATCAATTATCTCTTTCTCATAATTAATCTACTTATCTATTCTGTACCCAGCGTAGAAAGTTCCGGGAATCATACCGGAACTGTCTACACATCTTATTTGCTGTAGTACGAGTCATGGAACATTCGACCTAAATGTTCTAAAAAAAAGCTCCTCTATTGTTAGCTTATTATCTGAAAATAACACAACAAACTATTTAATTCTTATTATTAAGTCTCATTTGTTCTCACTATTCAACTATTTTAACTCTACTTTTTCAGCTTTACAGCAAACTCAAGAAAGAGAGACCCAACTTTTTTCAGAAGATTGCGGTAGTGGAAGGTGACGTCGGTCAATTAGGTCTTGGCATTAGTGAGCAAGACAAAATCAAACTTATGAATGAGGTATGTAATACTTTGAGCATTCCCATTCTGTTACAAATACAGCGTCGACCTACTTGAAAAGACTTATTTAATTGAACCTCTAATGCTGCGATAGCGCTGTGTTTGCTAATGTGTTTATATAAACATAATACAGAATATCAAAATTCGTGGCTGACAAAATTACACCTTTCTTAGTGCATAACTAGATATGCTAGTCTTTGGCGAGTTTCTCAAAGAAAACCAAGCGCAACGTGACACAGCCTACATTTATTGTTGTCAAAAGCTGATATAATCTTAAAACTGGCATATCAATCTTCTAAACTTAAAACTTATAAGAATTCCGTAATCGAATTATGTATTTTAATAAAACCAAGAAGTTTTTTATGAAAATAGTGTCATCATTTTCTCACCTTATATATAAAATTGTTTTTATTCTCAGGTCGAGTTCATATTCCATGGTGCTGCTACAGTCAGGTTCGATGAACCCTTGAAGACAGCTGTTGAAATCAATGTGAGAGGAACACGGGAGCTGTTCCAGCTGGCCAAGCAATGTGGAAAACTTAAAGCTCTCGTACATATATCAACTGCTTATAGGTAAGGATATCTCATTTATTCGCTGCTTCATATCAAAGTTAAAGTTTCATATCTTCAACTACGTGAATTGAAAGCCCTTAGGATTTTTTTAGAGCGGAACAACTACGTACCGAACTTTAATTAGAATGCAGTTTAGTCTCATTTTATTAAAGTTCGATAATGTTGCTTCTCTACCAAAGAAAACATGCTTGATTTAAATGGACAATTATATAAATAAACTAAAAATAACACAAGTAAATTTCCTCACAGCAACTGCACATCAAGAGTGATTGAAGAGAAATTCTACGAGAGCATAATGCGAGGAGAAAAGCTCATAGACTTGGTGGAGACCATAGATGAGAACACTATCAATAATATCACACCAGGGTAAATATTTGATGCAATCATTATCTTAGTACAGTCGATAGCACAACAGATTATACACAACTACCGAATTTGCGTAAATATTTAATGCGTTCTGGAGAGGCGTTCAAAATTGATGGAAAAACATGTTATTGTGTTGTAATCTTATGTGGTGACAACTATTCAACAACACAAAAAGTATTTAAAAGGACATTTACCGTTCTATGAGGATATTAGCAAATGACCAAAAGTCCATAGTTTAGTTTGTAAAAATCCATACGATTAATCCGATTCTGTAAAAATCCGTACCCAAATTGGAATTCACTTATGTATCCGAATTCACGTCATTTAGTGTAGAAATTCTATTGATTCCACTTTTTGTATTATAATATAAAATAAGATTGATTGATTCATACGTGTCTCAGATATTCTATTCTTTTGTCATTTCGAAACTCACTTCACTTATGCCACGAAACGTTAATACTAATTCATGATTGAGTGGATGCCACTTTTGTAGTAAATTTGCACACCGGAGAGAATTCGACTTCACGCTCGGATTTTTACAGAATTGCAGGGCTGTTAATATTAAGATGTAAATGCAGAAAATAATGCAGAACGCAGAATATATATAAACATCGAAAATGAATGCCACCTCGATGCAAGTTAAGATAATATTTTTGTAATATACGTTTTGTTTTTATTCTTCACAGATTATTGGGTAACTTTCCAAATACATACGCATATACAAAATCAGTGGCAGAGAACGTCGTAGCCGAACATTCAAAAGGACTACCTGTGGCAGTTTTTAGACCATCTATTAGTAAGTATTTTGTTATATCATCATTCCTTTTACGTCCCCACTGCAGGGGCTCAGGCCTTCATTATTTTTTTGGTTAAGGAGGATGGGCCATGACCCTCCATGGTGGCCCAATGCTGATTGGAGGGTATTAACAACTGTAAATGCAGCCAACCAACGGTAAAGCACGGAGTAGCGCGCGATAACATTTTTTTTTGGTCATCCAGTCCGTTACCGACCCTTGCAAAAGTTGCTTAACAACAACGAACGACAGCTGCGGCACTTATCCATTGGCCACCAAGCTACCAAATTAAATATTTAAATTTTATTTAGATGAATCATGAAGTTTATTTAAACCACTGAAGAACGTCTGGGTTCATCAACTTATTCAATACATACAAACTATATTTCTTAAGTATTGCCTAGTATATCACATCTTTACTATTTTTTTTATTAATCATATGTGAAAACTTGCGTAAAGTCGTGGATTCGAGTCCTATTTCAGAGTGCCACGAACAATGTGGATTTTTTTTAAGCATTTCTCATTAGGTATATTATTCTTCTTATTATTATTCTTCGTTTGTTTTACAGTTATCGCCACAGCTAAAGAGCCTGTAGCTGGATGGATTGACAACGTATACGGACCAACTGGTGTAAGTACCTAAATTCGATGACTATTTTATTATTCATAATCATCATCAGCCCTTTTACGTCCCCGCAGTAGTAAGGGGCTCTGATCTACCTTATGAATGGTTAATGAAGATAGGCCATGCTGGCCCCAATGCGGGTCGGCGGTACTTAATGTATTTCCTGATCACTTATTTATCGATTTTATCGTATAGATCATAGTTAACAACGTTAGGTTAGGTTAGGTAAGGTTAGAGCTGTGACGACATTTTCTTAATCTCAAGTGCCCCGTTACGCGAACACGTACCTTAATATTTATTTGAATACTTATTTATTTATTTTTGTAGATTTGCCAACATTTTTTTTTACAATATCCCTTACTTATTTATTAACTTTTTTACTACAATATTATCTGATTGCCACAAATTCTTAAAGGCAAATACAACATGCACCAATATGCTAAATTACAATTTAAAAATATTAAAGTTTATCCAATTGTGTGTTGGGTTTGATTGAGATAGTATAACTGTTTCAAAGGCCATTCCATATATCTAAAAAAATTTTACGGATCGTGATGAGCGAGTCGAAATGTATATCTATGATATTACTGAATTCATTTACCATCTTACAAAACCTTGCAACTGGTGAATTAGATCCGAAAACAGTCTTACGGAACGGAGCACTTAGAGCCGTTATTGACTTTCGAGGATTTCGAGACAATGACCAAAAATTGAGGACAATCCACACTATTACCAAGAATCTTTGAAACAAAACACACGTCATTAAGAATTCCACGCTGCGACGATTCGGTTATGTTGAAATGGGCAAACCTTTCATCATATGCAGACAGTCTTTTTAATTAATATCTATTCAGTTTCCTACACAAATTTAACTACATTGTTAAATAGCTAATAATAAACAATGTGACAGGTGGTAGTGGGTGCCGCGGTCGGTCTCATCCACACCATCCACTGTGAACCCAAAGCAGTTGCAGACTTAGTGCCCGCTGATATGGTCGTTAATGCTTGCATTGCGTCCGCGTGGAAAACTGCTAAGGAATACCCCGCTAACCACGAGGACGCCCCGCCCCAAGATCTACCGCCGCCAGTTTATAATTACGTGTCATCGGAACAGAAACCACTCACTTGGGGTAAGTGTGCACGTCAGTGCTATTTTGTAATAAAAAATGTTTTAGGATTCCGAGCCAAGGCTACATTAACAGATAAGTTGGACAGTTGAAATTTTCACAGATTATGTATTTCTGTTTCGGCATCAACAGCAATACGAATAATTATAATAATTGTTTATTTGCAAGAATCTGCAACAAATGTATTACATAGTTATTAACAATAGTTTCTCACATTCTATAGTATATGAAAAGTCGTATACTAAAAACCAAAATAAAATAAATATTTAAGGGAGCTCTATACGAAAAAAAAACGTGATTTTTTAGCTCATTTTCGGTCTCGTAGTGAACTTTATCTAAAGAAGAAAATTTGGTTGGTCTTAATAGAAATGCAGGTGGATTAATAAATTTCTTTTCTTTTTTTAGAATGATAAAAATCAGTAAATACGACATATATCGTTAATTCTTTTTGGTCAACTTTACATTAAAAATGCTATACTGATCTTTAATAATAAATGCTTAAAAATGTTTGGCAATACAGGTGGATGGTCTGAACATTGATAAAAATACACTAACTAGTAGTGAAAAGTAACAAATACTTCAAAAATTCATCAGTCCTGTTGGATCTCGGATAAGCTCAATGGTTAGAGAAGTTGCTCGAATTGCGAATGGCTGTGGATTCGAGCCAGATCTCGATGTACCTGTGGCTTGTCGATTTTTATAAGCATTTTTCATTAAATGATTATTGCGATAACCTGAAACTCATTGCTGTCCTTAATGTCCACCTTGCGTAACATAATATTATAAGTTACGGTTTCAATAATAAATAAATAAAAATAGCGCCTCCAAAGCCTAGCAAATTCAATTAAATAAAAAATTGTACAAAAATAATAAAGGTTTTATTTCATTGAACCTCTATTATGTGCTCAACGTCAAGTAAGAGTCTGGATTTATAACAAAATTAGCTATTAATTATGTTCGTCGTTAGAACGTGCCCTTATACCTAGGTAAATGTAGTTTTAACCAAATCTCTTGAGCTACCTAAATGTAACACCAATTCCCTCCTCAAATCCATTTCTGTTCGTGGTATCCTACTATGGAACAGACTTCCCTTGAATATTCAGGGGTTACCCTTCCATCGTGTGTTTCAAATTCAAACTTAAAGACTACTTTTTAGAAAAATGTTCGTATTCATGACACTGTATTGTATATATCTATTTTTTGTTTGTTATTTGTTATATTTTTTTTCCAACCGTAATATCATTTACCCCCGGGGTCAATAAAATACCGACAACCATCGGTAGCAGCTACCGACCGCTTTTCGAGCTACTGACAACCATTCGTTTTTGCGTTTCACAATCATGGGTAAGCCAACTACGAGCGGTTGTCGGTAGCTCATTTTTTTTAATTGTAATCATATAATTCGAGGAAAAGGGATCTTTTCATACAGCCTTGTCTTAGGTAATATTATGAATATACTGAAATGTTGGTCTTAAAAACAAAAGGTCTTTGATCTTTTGATAATTTCTTGGCCATAATCGAAATCGCAAGAAGGAAGACAGAGACTTCAATAGGAAAGAGGTGAACTGATTACGTACCGAAACTAAATTTGAAATTTGTTTTGGAATTATTATGACTTATTTTCGAATGAAAAACAGTCATTTTTCTATTAATTAACAAGGGAAAAAGTGTTTTTTATAAATATTTTTACGATAACCAACGGAAAATGGCCGGTAGGTAAATTTGACAGATAAACTACGGATAGTACGGTAGTTTGACAGCTCTACCGACGGATAGATTTTTTTTATTGAAACACCTTTTTACGCCATTTTCATACATTTTACTTACGAACGGTTATCAGTATCAGATCAATCCGTTAGTAGCACACCGTCGGTAGCTTTACCTACCAATGGTATGTTACTGAAACACTTTTGATACCATCGGTAGAAAATGCTACGGATGGTAGCAAAAACGGATAGTCTTTTGATTATTGAAACCGGGGGTTAACTGCATATCACCCGCCTACATCTTACTCTCCCACGACTCCTAGGTTGGCTGGAAGAGATGTAGATCTAATCTAGAGATGAACCCACCTTTGTAACAAATTTATTTACTTGTTTTTATGTAAAATTTTGAGTGCAATAAAGAGTATAATAATAAATAGATAAATACAAATGGTCATGAAAACAAATACAATAGCAAATATTTCTATCCACAGAGAAATTTATGGATATCAACGTGACCTACGGTCTAGAGGTCCCCTCTGTGCAAGCAATGTATTATTACCTGTTTGCCTTGGTGCGTTCGAGATTTATGTACATGACATACTGTCTTTTCCTGCATTGGATACCTGCCTATATTGTAGATGGCATTGCGATACTAATTGGGAAGAAGCCTATGTAAGTTAAAAATATTATATATTATGTAAACCAGCTCTCTCATAATCGTTAGTGAAGTCTTAATCAATTCTTAGTATAGGCTTATTGGCAAAATACGTTAAACATATTCTCTAATATTATACCTATTATTACGGAAGATGGCCCTGCTTTTATGAGAAAATTAAATATTTATCTGAGTAGAATTTTTAATATTAAAGAAATTCCTTTCAAAAGTAAAGATGATAAATTATTCACCGATGTGAAAACTAGCCAAGTTAAACTTCAAAGTGCTGTAGATTTTAAGTTGGTTGCTTTATTCTACTAAAGAATGTTAAACTATCTTATAAATAAATATTTGGATTGTCTACTAAACTTGGCACCTATTTACATAACAACACTTGCGATATTGTGCTTGAACATTGAACTTGACTGTAAATTTTCACATTTATGTTTATTGTAGGTTTTATTAGGATAAATGCCACGGCCCGCGATCGTTGTTATTGAGTAACTTTCGCAAGGGTCAGTCACGGGATGGGTAACCAAAAAAGTATTACATCGAGCACGTGAAGCCGTTGGTCCCGGCTGTATTTGCAGTCGTTAATATCCTCCCACACGCATTGGTCCAGCGTGGAGGTTCATGGTCCATCCTCTTTAAACATCCAAAAGGAAGGCCTGCATTGGGGACGTAATAGGGCTGATGATGTGGTTCTATTCTCATTTCATCCATTCCTTTTCAGGTTACGGAAAGCTTACACGAAAATCTCTAAATTTTCCGATGTCCTCTCGTACTTCTCAACGCAACAGTGGAAATTCTATAATAAAAACGTCCAGGAATTATACGAAGAGCTGTGCGATGCCGACAAGCAGATCTTCGACTTTAACATGTCCAGCTTAGACTGGAACGACTATTTCTACAGTTACGTTAGGGGGATCCGAATTTACCTGCTCAAGGATCCTTTGGAAACCGTTCCAAGTGGTCGCGCTAAGTTCTTAAGGCTAAAGTGCATACACTATTTTGGTAGTACCATTTTAGGTCTAATCGTTTTAAGGTTATTATGGAGTGTTTTCAGTTTCTCATTCAGTTTATTTTTCTAAGTGTACATTCTATCTAAAATATCGTCAATTGTACATGTAATACCTGAAAATACCACCAATCTGACGTAACTCCACGTAGAATCAAAGACACAATCGGACGTGCAATTGGATCAATATCCATAAAAATGTTTATATAGTTTGTTAAAGATTAAGAGACATAAAAAATGGACCTTTTCACAGTGCTTTTTAAATTTTTTAATCTTTTTAATTTTTTAACTAAACTATATTTAACTGAATCTAACTGAACTATATTTGATCACCTTTACATTGATAATGCCAAAAATGATTAAAGGTCGTAGGTACGCATCCCTTCTCAGAGTTATTTTATTGTAAAAAAAAAATCTGTCATTACTGTTAATTCTAATATTTTTTCAATACAATTAAGCAATATATTAAATAACAATAAGAATTTTAATTTGTCTTAAACGACACGAAATAAATAAACACTCAGGATGTTTTTATGAGAATTCCTAACAAGTGACAGTAAAAAAATATTGCGATATGTTTCTATTCATGGATCTAAAGTGGAGCAATAATTTCTACGTCTAGTAGGTGAATTGGGTATTAATAGTTTACTTAAACGCTTCCTTGAAGTGGTCGATGTAGAAATCCTGAATTAATTAGTTTGACATAGAATTATTTTTATCTTTAATTTATTTAATTCTTGAGTTATTGTCTTCTATTGTTTAATTTTTAAAATTTCTTGTTGTTTTTGACTCACTTAAAGTCGATTTAAATTATCACTACTTTCGTCAACTGAAAAGGCTTTAACGAATCTTTAAATAATTGTGTGTTAATATGCGTTAGTAACTATTTCAGCACAGACGTTGTCTATTATGAATATTTTTGATATTTTTACCACTCAGTTTGTAGTAATTGCAGTTTTATTGGTTATGAGCATAAAATACGACAGTTAAATGTAAAGACAAACCAAAAAAAAATTTGTTCACTAAAAATTATTTTTTTTAAATTACACGTTAAAGTTAATGGTACCAATTCTGTTGTGTAACTCTTTAAAATTAACTAAAAAAATGTTCTATTAATGCTATTCTAAACTCATTTATAATTAAAGAAACATAATGATACTTCTACTATTAATTAATTAAAATAAAAAGTTGTCTTCTGTTATCGAAGTTATTTTCACAATTGAAAATACAGTTACATTAGAACTAAAAGTTCACTTTGTGCAACAGAATTGCTACCGGTATCCACATTCTGTTTTCTATGAGCATAACCATTAATGAGGTAAATTATAATGGTATACCGTTATACTTTATTTAATATACCGTTTACCATTTTAATATTGACAATTTCTATGCAGTTTTCAGATGGTGGTAGAACGCTATGCACATTATAAATATAATTAATTGTGATATCATATTGTTTGCTCAGTTTATTTTTGTAAGTTATTTTTTAAGATTTTTTGTGTGTGAGAAATAAATGCCATTTTGTATAAGTGATAAAATTATGTATTTTTAATTTATATTGAGCGTCATTCAAATAGCAATTTGGTCAAACAAAAAAAAGTCCCCAATACAAAAACCAGAATAAAAAGTAAAAACTAATAAAAGAAACTCAATCTTAATGTACCTGAATATGCATTAATAATTTTTAAACAATACATCGTATTGGGGTCGTATTAAATTGATTAGTTTGGAGCGGTCCCCCAACGCGACGTTTGTTTTTTTTATATTTTAATAGATATGATATTTTTTCGCAATTCCATTTGGGAAGAGAAGAAAAGAAGGAAATCTACACTGAAGGAAGTTTCTTGCAAGAAACCAGAGAACAAGCTAAAAATTCATTTACAAATCTTCGATCAATACAACTTACTCTTTTGGATTAAATATTTTCCTTTTAGATAACATTTACTCTTTGATGTATTTTTCTCTATGAAAAAATTACCATATTACTATTCTGTGATGATTACATGCTCTTTGGAGAAAATGATAACCTATCCAGATGAGTTTTTACAATAATTTTTATTTAACAGTTATTACTTTTTTAGTTTTAAATTTAAAAACAAGCACTTCTGTTAACAATGAAGATATAAATATCATGAATAGTGGTGTTCAGAAAATTGAACCATGTTCCGTGGGTTTAATTTTATATGCAACTGTTAACAATACGTCGCCTAATATGGACTACGAGGTGGTGTTGAGTCCTGACCAATGTTGTTTGAGCATTGACTCTAAAGACGTTTGTAACGTGATGTCAATTGAAGGTGAATGTGTCGCTACTATTCCTAAAAGTTGGTATTATTTAATAAATAAATATAATGCATAAATAAAGAAACAAAAAAAAACACATAAGTCACCATGGGCGTCATTTTTGTACCCACTGTTGGGGCTTCGTTCGCTCATATGGATAGAAGCGCAGAGGTAGAAGAAACTAACCCACATTGCAGAGGTAATGATGACTATAGATGCAACCGGGACCAAAGGCTTAACATTATTTCTGAAACCTGAGACGACAAATTTTTGGTCATCAGTACGATGGAGGTTACAGTTATACGTACCAACTTTGTGTAATTACAATTCCAAACATAAGTTCTACTGATAAATCGATAGGACACTATTACACTTTTTTTTGTAACGTTGCGTTGTAGTCAAGATTGCAGACGCATACTTACTAAAACCCTCCGATGTCCATTTCTTGTCAGGTTAGCCAGACTATTCGTACTATTCGCCTCCATTTTGGTCCGTTTCCGCACACGAGAACATGCAATGCTTGGTCAGCGCGTGTATTTTAGCAAAGAAATTGTGTTATTCCGGATATATTTAGATAACCATTGGCATTATTTTCTAATAACATATTTATGCAAATTAATACTAGGATTTTTAATGTGTCCTTACAGGTTCCACAAAAACTTTAAAGTTAGTAGCACCTTTAATAGAACCTTTTGAAAGACGCGGATATTGTATTGTTTATTTAGATTCTAAACCTACTACTAGACAGAGAAAATCTATGAGAGACGAAGTAAAGATATCTTTTGATACAAGGCTTAAAAACTCACAACAGCCAAGAGCATTGATGGAAAATGAATCAATTTGTACAGAAATTGATCAAGATCCATTAAATGATTGTAAGCCAGTAGATTGTGAAATTTATTATAACGGTAAAAAGCCGTTTTTCGATAGCAAGACGAAACGTTGCATCGCCACTCCCCTTTGTATTTCCGATACAGATGATGAAGTACCAAGAACTGTTTACGATCAAAATAAAAATAAATGTATAGTTGGAGAATCAGTTTCTAAAGATGATATCAACTTCATTAAAAAATTAACCAAGAATACTAGTCATAGGAAAACCAAAGATATTTTAATCATAAGGAACCATGTAAAAAAGCCTCCTGAATTGTATAATAACCACACTGAAAAGAATATATCAGCATTACTCAATTCTAATGCAGATAGTTCATATAACCTGATATCGGACATGCCAAAGTTCATGGTTATAAATAAAAACGGAATCAAATGCTTATTAACAAAATATTTATTTGGTAACCGATGGACATTTATTATTCTTGCCGGCGTAATTGTAGTTCAATGTTTTTTGATCTGCACTATGATTTATTGCTTAACCAAGACCTGTGGCAAGTTTAATAAGAAAAAGGTAGTGAATAAATTTTTCAACTACCGTCATGATGCTTCAGTAACTACTCCGCTCATATACACTAGCAATATAGATACGGACACAACAGATTTTCAGTATTTAAGTGAAACATCCAACATTGACAAAATGATAAAGTGTTATAAATCTTGTCAAAAGGAGCGGAAAACGCAGGCGAAGATCAGTATGTCCGATGATATTCTATCTAAATGTTTAACAAGACGTGACTGGAAGTGTAAATCCGATAAACCTATAACAATAGATGAAAATAATCGAGCGGTTGATGATATAATTAAAGATGTATTTAAAAGAGAATCAAAAGATCACACAACCTCAATACTTTACCAATCAAATGACAACGAACGTATTAAAAAACTTAGTAACGCTAAGGTAAACTTTGAAAATGAAGATGTTAAGACTAAAAAGGAAAAGAAGCGTGATAATACGACTAAAATAATCGTAAATAAAGCAGCTAACAATAGAAATAACAGAGAGTACGATGGAATACAATATGATTTATCAGAGAGGGAATTGAAATGCCACAGTTACAATTACGTAAATAACGATTCTAATCTAACAGGCTTTAAACCAAGCGCATATAATAAAAAGTTGAGTTTCTTTGAAACGAATAAGAACAGATTTGGTCCGGTATCTATGTCTACCGAAAAAGGTGCTCAAGCTGTGTTTTCCAACGATTCTTTAGATGATTTCTTATCAGAAAGAGGTATGGTATTTCGAGCTAGTGAAGATCTGTCTAAATATTCATTTTCAAGTAATTCTAATGGCATAAAAGGATCGTCAGTCTCATCAGAAATTTCGAGTAAGACATCAAAAAATAATGTGTTAAAGAATGTTATTTCGTTGTTCCATAAAAAGTCTAGCCATGGTGCGTCATCGGAGCCTGGTGGTAAGAAAAAAAGTAGTAATTCGAATATAGAACTTATTCATATGTCAAAAGCTTCTGTTTACTCTTCTTACAACGGTTCAGATTATTTAAAAAACTTAAAGCAAACCAAAGATTCGAGAACTTCTTTGTAATATGTAGTTTATTTTTTAATAATATTTATAGTTTTAGTTTTAATAAATAAATATATGTAAAATATTCGTATTTTATGTTATTAAAAATATGTAATATTTTTTACGTTAAAAATAACGTTTGGCTAACTTTTGGAATTTAGTAGAATTTCACGCCAATTACACAAAAGCGTGAGCACTCCCCAAGACAGGAAAATTATATGAAAAAATTGAAATAGTATGAATTTAATTCATACAAAATATATGAGTTGGACAGAGGAATACACAAAGTAAGAAAATAACTTTTTTCTCTAGGTAATTCTTTCGTCTAAATTTTCATTCAATGTTTATGGGAGTTACAACCTGAACAATGCATTTCAATTGTGATTAATAGTCGACTGATCATGAGGAAAATAATAGTGTAATAGATGGTTTTGTATCACGTGGAATTTCAAAATTGCCTTCTCAGAGGGCATTATCTAGCCCAATAAGGAATATACTATCCGACTCAATATGGAATATGCTTTCAACTCAAGTTCAATGAAACGATACAAATAAAATATTATTTCATTAATTAGCGTTTGAAACCTAGATTAGACAAGTACAGACATATACAAAACTGTGACGTCAAAATTTAATAAACAGGGATTGTCACACGGAAGTGACAAGGGCTGGAAACGTTCCCACTCCATTTCATTATTTTGCCGATAATAAGTAAATTACTTAATTCATTAATCAAAAATATTATATAATCTATCACTTAAAATTTAAATTTCATATCAGTTACGATACATATCTGACTGAAGATACGCCGTGTATTATCGATCGCGAACGTCTTTTATTGGCACGCAGAGGTTTCGTAAAACTTGTTTTTGTTTAATGCAACATACAACTACTTTCATAATATAACTACAGTTTTATGATAAGTAAATAGTCATTCTTTTAATATTATGTGTAATATATTATTTCACATCATAATCTCCAAAACGTAGCTTCGGTATTAGAGGTGGACACGTAGGGCAGGGAGCGCATGGCGGACAGAGCGTCGATGGAGGCTCGGTGGGCGGTGTCACGTGGCGTGGCGGTGTCACCTGGACAATGACGAAGAAAAATACGATATACAAATCGTACGAATTAACATGACGCCTGAGGGCCTTTTCCGTTTGTTATCGAACGAAAATTCGAAAAATTTCGAAGGACTGCAGAATATCATCTGTAAATCAGAGGCCGTGTCAGGTTCTACCTCCGTTGCATTATACATTAGGTTTTTGTTTATAAAATTTAATTATACGATTACCTTAATCTTAGGAAAATGAATGTTTCCAATTAACTTGAATTTTGGTAACGGACCCCTCGTTACACACCAACACTGAAATTAAGACATTTAATTTAGAGCTGTTTTCGCTCAACTCCGGATTCGTAAATTGTAGCATATTATATCACTCAAGAGTGATATATGCCGTGCAAGAATTTTCATGATAGACGGATCAGTATTTTAATAATATTAGTAAAGAAATCTGTAAGAAAACCAATGGTACTAACTGACTACTTTAGCCTTTGAATGTAACCTATGTCATATAATCAGATATTCTAGCTAAGACACTTCTAAAAATAAATATCACACCTATAAATCTAATAAGTATGTGGTGTAGAAAAAAATATTTGTAAAACAATTAAAATTCACGTTATATCTATTAAAAAAGATTGAAACGAGTAAACGAAGTTAAAGAATTATTAAAATTATATTTATACTTACACCAGGCTTTAAACACAAAAAAAAAAACATATTTTATATAATTCCGTTTATGTTTCTCATTAGACGATTATAACTTTATTTTTAAAATGGATTTTAATGGAAAAAATCTTATTACTTTTCCAATTTCATGTATTTGTGGTTTCTTTTCCACAAAGTTGATACTTATTTTGTGTTGATGAAATTGTTTTTATTTTCCCTATTATTTTTATATTTACGCGATTACGTATATGTTCAGTGGCGTAACTACAGGATGGCAAATCGGCAAAATGCCACGGGCCCCCAGCTGGAAGGGGCCCGATATATTCATTTTTTTTACTAATTGCGTAATATTAAATGTCAGGAGTAAGGAGTCTCATCTGACCGGGGGCCCCTTCCAGCTGGGAGCCCGAATTTGCGACGGGCCTGCAACGGTATAGTTATGCCACTGATTATGTTATAACTAGAAATCAGTGCTTTGCTCTTCAAGTAAATATCTAATAATTTTTACGCAATTACATAGCTGCGATACTGTTAATTATATTACTACTCATTTCGTTTCCGTTATTTCAATGTTTTGTGGAAAACATTGAAATAACAAAAATGTATATTTATAGCAGAATCTTGATAAAGAATTTATCTAAAATACTTACTTTCTGCAAATTTAAATACCGAAATATGTTAGTATTAAATACTTAAACAAACCCAAAGAAAGTATCTTTAAATATTTATAATTCTTCATACCGTTGGTGGCTGAAAAATAAATAAGTATATAACATAACTTTACCATCACATTTCAAATTATAATAAAAATTGAAATTCACAACAGTTTTTGCTGTGGATTAATTAAATAAATAAAATTATTGATTTGAAACTAGAATCCTGAAGCTCACTAATTATGATCGGTAACAAAATACTTATTGTAGGTATAATAATACAATAAATTAAGTTATAATTATATTTACCACAGTCTGGAAACATGTGATTTTGTTAATAAAACACAAAAACTGAGCAAATTGCCATTCTGCCGCGTGGCCCTTCTAATTTCATAATGTATCGCAATCGTTTCCAAAGGTATAAAAAGTGTGATAGCGTTTTATAAAATTATATAACGTTTAAAGTCACAGTCGCTTTCGGAACGAATGATAATTTTAATGAGTAAGAACATAATAAATTTGAGTAACTTAATGTTATATTTACATCTAACGCTTGCCTTGGACAATAACGATATCGTTTACTCGATATCATTTAAATAAACGTTGCGATCGCAAGCGCCATCACTTGCAAAATTATTGTACAAGTACGTGAACACCTTTTAAATCAATTTGAAAGAGATTGCGAAATTTAAAATCAACAATTAGGTCCCTGGATGGTTTTTTTTTCGACTAATATACTATGACTACGATGCGATGATGACTTCGTGTTCGAAGCCGCTTCTATGACAGAATAACACCGCTGATCCTTAATAATCTTGTTATTATCTAGTTCAAACAACAAAAAACAAGAAATAATTAAAAACTTTGGTTACTTACGTAATACTGAAAAATAAAAAAAGGTAAGCACTTAACGCCAGTTTCATGATTATAAATTAAAATAGCTTCATGAAAATAAAACTCACTGTTTTCTTTAAATAAAAAGAAAAAAAAACACAATTAAATTATTGATTTCACTAATTCTCCAAAAATAAAATATAGTGAAAAATAACTTTAAAAACTATTTACGTTTACTTACCCAAAGCTTTAAATTATTGAAAAAATATTAACGAATGTAAATAATCATATTTAAGTACTTATATTTTGTCACGATTTATTTAATTTGTCTCATAAAATTATTCCTTTTTAAATACATACCTCAGTCTAAAACAAATAATTCGAAACATATCATAATGGAATTAGTCAGTGGGTTTCCCAAGCAAAACATGCAAATATTTGCCATGCGTAAAATTGTGCTAAAATAAACCAAAAGTGTTGTTATTACCTAAATTATCTTCCAATAGTCTAACATCTCATTCACACTTACTCAATGCTACCTCAATCTGAACCTCAATGCTATGACAGCGCTCCGCTAGACATCGTGTTCGAGATTGTTTTTATAATAGCTTTTTTCCCACGACTTCTTCCGCGTAAATAGCCCATATCATCGCGATGATACATGTTACCGTATGTAAAATAATTTTTAAAATCGGTCCAGAGTTTCAGATCCACTATACAAAAAAAAAACACAATCAAATATTTGCTCTTTGTAATAATATTTATATATCAAGTATCCTATTAATATTATAAATGTGAAAGTTTCTTTGTTTGGATGTTTGTCCGTCAATCACGCCGAAACTACTGAACGGATTTTGATGAAATTTGGTATACAGATAGGGTATTAGCTGACTTAGATAATAGGATACTTTTTTTCCCACTAAATATTTCCCTAGGGTCCACGCCGGCGAAGCCGCTGGCGAAAGCTAGTTAAGAAATAAACATCATAGATTCATTCGTAAAGTTTGACTTTCCGCAGCTAAAAGAAATCTTAAATTGGTGATAAAAACTTTTTTCTCCTGATATTTAGATAGTCCTTTGACTGTCTTAGTATTCAGAAGTTGGTTTATTAAAGCTACCGATTAAAATTAAACAAAATTTTACTTAATGACTATAAATAACATTTGAAAGTTGGGTAAGTGTAGTGTTGAGGTTAATCAATGATATTAAGAAAAATAAATAATATAAAACAAAACTTACAAAAAGTTCCTGTGAACAATGATAAATCATGGAATAAAATTCAAAATAGTCAAATTTTTATATAGGTATTTCTATATAACAAACCATCTTTCTTACCACTTTCTATAAAAAAAATAAGAAAAATGTCAGTATCAATAAATATTATAACTCTTACAACGATCTGGAAGCTAATAAGATCTTCTTTTGAATTTATTAAATCTAGAGAGATATAGATTGCATACGCTGGTTGTTATCCGATGCAGATCTTAAAAGCTAGTTTTATGTTGACCTACTTGTAGACGACAGTTTACTGATATCGTCAACTGTATCGATTAGATAATTAATTTGGTAATGACATGGTGTAGTTATATTAAGTTTAGGTACACTTCTGTTAAAAGCTGGTTAGTCTCGCTCATTCTTCTTGTCAGCGCAAAGACGTTTTAAATAGTGGTAGGTATTCTGAAATGTGTTAATTTTGGACTATTAAGAAGTGCGTTCCATAAGCTTTATTTTTATAAGGAATATTTCCATTCTTTCGTTTTTTTGCTGCTGTCATTACTTGTGATATTGTGGTCGGTGCAGCT